GTCTTCTCAACACAAACCCTTAAGTCAAGGACAAGTTGGAGTGAAGTATTTCATGTCCCAAAGAAAAACAACCCCCAATCTAGACTGATGTACCCTGCAAAATAATCTTTCAGAATTAATGGAGAAATAAAATATTTCAATATAAAGAACAACTGAAGAAATTCATGACAACAAACCACCTTTACAAAGAGCTCTGAAAGATATTCTAGAAAGAGAAAACAAACACCACAATTACAAGGCTACCAGTAGAAAGAAATGACTAAGTAGGGCAAACAATTAAACAGAGGGGAAAGACAGGGAATCATCAACATTTAAAATATATGACAAAGGCAAGCCAATACATATGAGTTATTACCATCTGTATAAATGGTCACAATTCACCAATCAAAAGAAATAGTCTTGCAGAATGGATCAAGAAACAAGATGCAACAATCTGCTGCATTCAAGGAACACATTTAACTCAAAAAAAAAAAATGGAAAGGATGGAAAGCAATATTCCATGTGACAGGAACCCAGAAAAAAGCAGGGGTAGACACACTATTCACAGACAATGTGCACTTTAAGTCAAGACCGATCAAAAGAGATAAAAAAGGACATGACATGCTTATTAAAGGAAAACTTCAAAAAGGAGAGACAATGAATATAAATATATATGCACCAAATACCAAGGAAGACACTTATATAAAATATTAATGGACAGAAAAAATCACATAAACACTAATACAGTTGGAATGGGTGACCTTAGTACTACACTGTCACAAGAAGATAGATCAACTAGACAAAAAATCCACAAAGAAATATCAGAATTGAACCAAAGCTGTGAACAAATGGACTTAGTAGATGTCTACAGAAGGTTACACTACACAACATTAGAGTACACATTCTTCTCAGTGGTGCATAAGACCTCTAAAATAGACTGTATACCATATGTCTAAATAAATGCAAAAGAATTGAAATTATCCCATGCATAGGAGTGGAACATAGTGTAATGAAATTGGAAATCAATGGCAAAAGAAAACACAAAATCTCCATAAACACATAGAAATTAAATAACACTCTACCAAACAATGGGTCATGGATGAAATTAAAGAACAAATTAATAGGATCTACAATTAAATGATAATGCCAATAAAACATACCATAACATATGGGATGCAATGAAAACTGGCCTCAGAGGAAAATTAATAGCAGTGAACTGTCACATCAGTAATACAGAATGAGCTCAGATCAGCAACCTAATGTCATACCTCAATCTTCTAGAAAAAGAAGAAGAAATCAAACCACAAGCTCATATAAGCAGAAGAAATTAGTGTAATTGAGACTAAGAAAATAATACAAAAATGAATGAATCAAAA